TTTGTCCTTGATAGTGAGTCGCCGAATTCGTCTACGAGTCGTTCATTTACATTCACCTCTGGTTTCTATTTCTGCCTTTCTTCCTGCGGATACATGGCATTTAATGAAGTGCGGAGTTTTCTCACTAGCATTGCTTTAACTAGTTATACCTTTGGAACAGGCTAGGTTCGGTGTTATCCTGCCTTCAGAAAAGTCCAGACAGTTTGTTCTGTTGTTCACTCAGTTGTATCAGCGAGACTTTCAGCCTGTCAGTTAGACTGAAAATAGTAGGGCGGCGATCAAATATGTATAACCACATCCTTGCAGTAAAAGTCTGAGGAGATTTATATTGTGAAATGAAACTCGTTTGCCGCAACCAACGTTCACAGAAGACCGGGTTACACGGAAAATCTATTCAGGAATGTGGTTGCTAATGTATTTGATATTTGACGCATAATCAGCGTAAACACTAATCACTGACTTATCCTGCACATGACTATAGGGATGCCTGGATCATTTGATGGTAGTTTTCGCTGAATTGGACTGCATTGTAAACACTTCTGTACCATGTTCTCAGTGTTCCAACCTTTCCGTGTTCAAGTTAACGTAGCTGCATGCTAGTAACTTCAGATGTTGCACATCCAAATCACTTACGTGGAGTTATTTTGATAATCAACATCCTGAGAGTGACTGGAATCACTAAACTCTCCCAAAACAACAAGCACTAATCGGCAATGGGAAATACATCATGCTGTCGGAAATACTTTATTAAGTCGTTGTCAACTTTCTGGCCAACTGTCGTGCACACATTTGACGATTTGCTAGAGTTAGAGCATGATCCTGTTCCTATATTATACGTTGTCGGCAAGGGATAATCACATCCGACACAAATACGTTTACTTCTACTTCAAATTATTTTACACCAATAACATAACCCTTGTCGAATGGTCGATTCGAGTAAATTATTCTTGATATGTTAAATTATTTGAAAGGGTTGACATTTCCCAACTGATGATTTTAGAGAAACTAACTGATCAGTCTTTATTGGAATACATGCATTCTGAGTAGGATCACCTCGATATTGAAATCGAATCACAAGTTTTCATCAAAGTTGGATTGTGACTAGCAGTAAAATTTAAATACAGGTTTCATACAATTTAGGACTCGTCTGGCGGATGTTTCTAAATCCCATTGTGGAATTTCTCACGGAGATTAGAATCCAATACCTTTCTCTTAAAATGACAACGTGTTATCGATTGAACTATGAAGTTCAGGCAGACACTAGTTTGTGCAACTGGTGTGATTTTTATTTAAAATGGTTTACATATTTACAATGTTAATGTCAGTTACTAATAACAAATCACATAATTCATTGGTTCTAAGTGGTCACTGTCGTTTTATAATTTCCTAACGAATAAATTTAAGTTATGCGATGAATAACATACGGACTATGATGTTGAATACAAGATTGATAATATAAAATGTCTTTAAAATCAGTACATTTGCGAGTGGTTTGTAGTTGAATTTCTCTCATATAAGAATTCAGTTAAATACTGCACGATTGCAAGAAGCGTAATTGCGTATGTACGTAAGTACATTGTTTGGAGGGTTTTTGTTGAGGAAGTTAAAACCCCAGAACTTACTTGGAAAATATCCTAATTTTGTAATTTTGTTTAGAAAACTTGAATCTCTTTGTTTTTGCGCCAAAGGCATTCTTTTCACCTTCGTGTCGTATCTCCCACATGGGAAAATCTTAAACGCTATTGGTCCGTCGTGTCTTTTAGTACGCTATTTGTAACGCTTCCCAAGGACGGTTTTGTGCTGTATATATATACGTTTTGGTTTGTGTCTGTTGTTATCGCTCGTGCTTCTGGATTTTTGTGGAATATACTTCCCCATACCAAGCTTCGACTTCTTCCTCTAGTTAGCGGGGCTGGGACGTATCAATAGCTAGCTTACTGGTCTTTGGTCACCGAGTCTTGTTTCTCGTTCGCACATTAAATGAACTCGTAACCGCTTCAAACCTAGCAGTTTTGTGACGATTGGTATGGTCGTGAGCATTTTCACTGATGAGGAGACCTTGAGAGTAGTCAACAAATGAGAGTTGTAAACCAGTATGAGGAATTGGGATTATAATTTACAGTTGATGGTTAGGGTTAGGAATTAGGTTTCGGATTATCATCACGAACTAACATCAGTTATAATGCCAAAACTCTATTTAGTCAAACGGATAAGTGAACTTATCTTATACTTGATTGATTCGTTCATAAATTATAGTCTCACCAGTGTCGAAATATAACAACGTCTAGTGCTTAAAACCGCTTACAAACAGTTACAAATACTTTTGAATTATTTGCATTATCACTCTTTCTTGACTGTATACAAGTGTTTAAACTAAACTGCTATGTAACCATAACAAGTAGGAAACTAGTTTACTCGACATGGAAATTATGATTCATTTGGTTTTACGGACTAAAGAACAAACGTCAATGAATGTGGGAAGGCGATGTTATGATTTGATGCTTCTTCATTCTTCGTGAATATTCAACTCATAGAATAATCTGCTTCTTATGAGATTGTTAGCAACAATACAATTGATATCGGCATCTCAAATCATTATCTAAAGGAATTATTCCGGCGCTGACCCTTCAACGTCCAACGCAGACTTATTAAGGATTTCAATGAACAACGGCTTGCAATCAGATCACCAGTGAACCATCTTCTAGCAGACCGTTTTGTGATCTATCCGTTAACGAATTATCAATAAATTTCCTTTTCAGTAATGATATTTGGACGATACTTTCATCACATTTATTGACGACAGTGATAATAAAATTATATTACTTCAGTAAATCCCTCCTGTCGATTACTTTGATAATGAAGTGGGAGTTGAATTGAAAATTTTCTTTTCTTGATGTATTACTGAAATGAAGAGAGAATGGATCTGTACAAAGATCGATATAAACAAGCCAAATTGAAATGGCTAGTATATGAACTTTTAGGGTAAGATGGCGCTAATTAGGAAGATAAACTTAATCCATTCCCTATCGTCAAGAACTAGACAAATGTAAATAAGGGCGAAATCGATGGGCGATCGAATAAAATCCGACAAATACTAATGAAGAATGATCTATTACCCCTTAGGTTTATTGAAAACAGTCTAAACCTAAAGCGACAAGCTAAAGTGCCTTGACAGTTCAGTCAAAAGTAAAAGTTATGAACATCGGATTCAAAATGAATATGATGGAGAATATAGAGAAGTGCAGACTATCAATATTTCTGAGAAAAACCTATTCATCAGCTCGTCAAGTCGTTTTCTCTTGTAAAGGCCCCCAAATGCACAGGTACGGCCGAGAGTGAGGAGAGTCCGCTATCCCTCTCCAAATTCTCTCACATGGCCACGCGTATACAGCCTCTGCCGATGATATCCTACTCATTGCCTTCTCGTGGCGGGGATGTTGTTTACAAAATTCAGAAGACGAAAAGCGAACGTCCGGCACTTTAACCGGGTTGGTAGACATGGAGGGTCCACGTAGAGGAGTTGGAAAACCATGATTCCAGTCCAATGGTGAACATGGGCCCAGAATCCTGAACGAACAAATGGTGTATGAACCAATCGTTGGTCACTGGCTACCATGGGACTGGATCTCCTTACGTTGCTCTACTGCCTTGTGGATCAGACCTTTAGGTCGAAGGTTCCGGGTGTGGCCCCCTACGAAAACCACCTGCTTCAGTTTGGGGACCCAGGCAGTATCACAGCCCTCACACATATCAAATGAGATTAGTGTGGCGCATATGTATTTGGTGCCTCCTTGTACCAATATCTATGTGTTAAAATACATGAGCAAGTTATATTGCTCATAAAAAAGAGCACTTATCAAACATAAATCCCTACACTGACCCTATCAGCTATCTAAAGGGATGTGTAAGTTAATCAACTCCACGATCTATGAACATATGATCAACTTCAATTACTTTCCATCAGAAGAATCGTTTTTTATGAGTATCCACAAAGTTAAAGTTCTTTTAAATTGTACTAATTATTACCAATTATTATCTTATTCTTCACCTTATTTCCCTTCTCATTACTTCTATAAAATATTATTTTTATTTAATTGCCTACAAGACTATTACATAATTCTTAGTCAATATATGGAAACATTTGATAGTTTCCTATGCATTTCTTAAAGGATCCAACACTTCACTATTTTATCATAGATAATCATATGTAAACTTAATTTTAAATCCAGCTGTACAGTTTAAGTAAATGACAAAAAGAAAGTTCTCTTCGTTGAACCGTCTTCATATTTTCAAACGATTCAAAGAATTTCTTCGATTGTTTTACAATTAGGATAGTGATTTAACATATACACTAATGGACTAATATTGTGAAATATGGAATCATATAAATTGAACCACTTTACGAGATGAATTCACTGTTAACTGATAATAATATCAATGAATCCATACAAGATTCTTTTACATTTATACAATCAAATGCATTCAATACATCTAATTAATACCATAAGTGAGGAATCAAACAAACTATGTATGATTTACGTCCTATTTGGGACTCGTCAGCTGGATGTACCTGCATCTCAGAGTTAATGTTCACACTGGAACTCAAATTCAGTACCGTTCGTTTCGAATGCCATCCCTTTATCCAATATGCATAGTATGCACATATACTAATAAGAGACTGATCAATTGCAGTTCTAAACATCAATGGGAAGATTCAAGTAAATAATATCAAGTGAATTCATACTTCACCCCATTGGACAATCAGGTGGCGATCAGGTCTCAGTAGCTAAGTGGATAATGCAATGGTATTTGAACGGCACTGGGTTCGAGTCCCAGAGTGAATATCAACTCTGTGATGTCGGTACATCCAGTTGATGAGTCCCAAATGAGACGAAATGCAGTCCTAAACATCAATTGAAAGATTCAAACAAACAATACTAAATGAATTTATGTATGATTTAATTTTCTTTTTTTATATATATATAGAAATTATTCATAAACTATAATAATGAAGAAGAAGAAGTAATTTCATACGGTGGCGGTGGTCCATATTCATGATAATATGATAATGGTGTAATATGAAATCGGATACATCGATTTTTGATATATTTACGATATAATTGTTTGAGGGCATTTTTTAAATCTTCTGTATTTGTAATTTGACACAGATTATGATTATCTATAAGATAAATAAAAATGACTACATAGTTAGTTAATTGATGTCTCCATTAAATTTCATTCATAGTTCACATGGAGATTATTTTGATCAGTAAATGAAATATTTCGATGATATAAAATCAATAAATCACATCATTCACCTTGACTATCTATGCTGATTGATCATTTCAGTTACGTAAAATTAATGATTATGAGATGATACGAAATAGAATTTACTGCTGATATTAATAGTAATTATGAAATATGCTGTGCGGAATCGTGGTTGAGCACTGCTGAGGAGTCCCATACTAGGAAGAAATGGCCGTCCAGTGCTTCCAGTTTTTCCATGGTGGTGTAGTTTCAATTGACTCATGATTTCAACCAGTGGAATTTCTAAAATCGCCACAAAACCCCTTCTAATATATAGATACGTTCACAATTGATTGATCACTGGGTGGTGATCAGTGTCACGCTTGTCTAGTCCTTATTAGTGCAGATCGAATGCTATCGATCATGTTGCAATGTGGCCACCAGTCTAGGTGACTCGACACTGCGGGCACTATGTATTGAGATTTAGATGGTGGTTGGAGGTAGTCAACAGGAAACCCTGGACCCGGGTTTCGTGCTACTTGGCACTCGTCAGCAAGGTGTACCTGTAATCTTGAGGGAACTGGTGCTCCCTGGCGGATTCGATCTCGTGTCACCCAGCTTCACAGTCGGAGACGTTACCACTGAGTTACCTGAGCCGTTTATTATTTTGGCCGGATACCATCAGCAATAATTTACTGTGTAAGAGAACAAACCAGCTTCCAGCTTACGAGAAAATTAGCAAGAGATGGTGGAAGTGAATAAGACATATATTATAGAAATCACCGAATTACATGATGAGGCAAGCTCTAAGATGGAATTTTGAAAAGAAACAGAAAAGTATAAGATCGCACAGTACACTTCGCCGAGAAATGGAAGCAGTCATGAAAAGAATGAATATCAATTGGAAAGAACTGTAAAGGGTTGCCTAGGACAGAGTTGGATGTTGAATGCTTGTGGACAGCTTAAACTCCTCCGCGAGGGATAATAGTAGTAAGTAAGTAAGTAAACCTTATTATTCTTTTAATTAAAATTTAGTATGAATCAACCGCCTATAATTTACACAGATTCACTAAAATTAGAAAATTTTTTATTTATTCTCTATAATAGTGACAATGAAGTCAACAAATGGCTTTAACAATTTCAATTATTATCCTACAGTAGGATAAAACGGCGGTCCAGTGCTTCCAGGTTTTCCATGGTAGTCTAGCTTCAATCGACTAATGATTTCAGTCTAAAACGATTTCATTCGGTAATTGTTATATAACTGATAAATCTTACGGTACCGGAACGACATGCGCTGAAGAAATTATTGTTTGCTTAAACTGGTCCACAAAGCACCTACATTCTGGAATCTATTCTTGTTGACATTAGTAAGTAGGATGCATGATCGAGGTTATAGAGGGCGCACTGATTTTTAATAACAGCTACCGTGATGTCGTTATTACATTCACAGTTATCACTATTTAGGTATTCCTAATGAATGTAGTCATTTTAAGAAATAAAATTTCGTGGTTTGGTAATTTGAAAAATCACTCATGATTCATGACCAATTAGATTAGTATCACCTTGATAGAAAAATGAAATAATCAGTGAGACTATAATTTATGGATGAGCTTTGAGCGATGCTAAACTGACCTTCAGAGTGTTCACGTAATAATTAGGACCAAATGAGGGTTAGAAACCAATATGAGGAATTCGAATTATGATTTACAATTGATAGTTAAGGTTAGGGATTACATTTAGGGTTTTTATCACGAACTGACATCAGTTATAATACCAAAACTCTATCTAGTCAAAAGGATAAGTGAATTTTCGGCCTAAATTTAATACCTGTTATCTTCTACGTGATTGATTCGTTCATAAGTTATAGCTTACTTACTTACTTACTTACGCCTGTTACTCCTAATGGAGCATAGGCCGCCGACCAGCATTCTCCAACCCACTCTGTCCCGGGTCATAAGTTATAGTCTCGTCAAATAATCTTATATTTAGATCATACTGAAAATTAAAACATGGGAATAACTACAATGTAATTACATATCCTAACATGGAGGATAAAATAGTTAACGTCATATGTTTTGACTGAAAATCATGCCATTAATTTCAATTCATTTCTTGTTCATTTCAAGATATCTGAAAACATAATCAACGGTAATGAAAGTCTCTAAAATCCTAACAACATAAATACTTACTTTGGTGCTTGTGATACAGTTTAAATATCTAGTTCTATTTGAAATAGACGCTAATCATCTATCTCAATCTGAAAATCAGAGTTTTACACTATCAGTTTATCCAGATTGAATAGAACATATCAACATCAACATCGAAAAATAACAATTGTAATTGAATGTCAACACCAAAAGTAACGTAATGATAATAAGGAATGTGTACTGTGGTGTGTACTGATTATGTTCACAGATATGAGTAGTAAGTGACAGCAGACTGAAGTGACATGTCCGCGAGCAGAAGATTGAGAAGATTGAAATGAAGACAAAGAAGAAGGAAATTGAAAGCAATCGAGATAACAACAGAATTAGATGAATAATGAAGTATGTGAAGGACAATTCAAAGAAAATGTGCAAATGATGTATGGACTGTATGATTTTCACATTTTTCCAAGGAGGCACCAAATAGATATGTGCCACATAAATCATTCGATTTGTGTGAGGGCTGGGATATTGCCCGAGTGTTAAACAGAAGCAGGTGATTTTCGTAGAGGGCCTTACATGGAGCCTCCGATTTACAGGTCTGATCCACAAGACAGTGGAGCAACGTCAGGAGGTGAAGTTCCGTGGTAGCTAGTGACCAACATTAGGTTCATACACGATTTGTTATTTCAGGATTCTGGAGTCGATGTGCACCATTTGTTTGGAATCAGGGTTTTCCAACTCCCCTAGGTGAACTCACCATGTCCACCAAGCCGGTTAAAGCAGCGGACGTTCGATTTTTGTCTTCTGAATTTCATAAACAACACTCCTGTCTCAATACGTTAGTGAGTAGGACTTCCCTGTCAGTGGTTATATGAACATGGCCATGTGAGAACATTTCGAGAGAGATAAAACTGACTCTCTCCACTTTCGGCCTTACCAGAACATTTAGAAGCATTCCTACCAAAACTACTGTCTAAAGTATGTATCATTAATCAAATAAACTCAAACTAAACATTATCAATATTTACATACCATAAACAAACCAGCTTTCAGTTGAAGAAGAAATTAGGAAAAGATAATGGAAATGGATAGGACATACATTACGCAAATCATCAAACTGCATCATGAGGCAATCCCTAACATAGAATCCTGAAGGGAAGCGGAAAAATGGAAGGCCAAAGAACACATTACGTCGAGAAATAGAATCAAATATGAAAAGGATGAATAAGAACTGGAAAGGATTGTCTAGGACAGTGTTGAATAAACATTGCTGCTGGTGAGCGGCCTATGCTCCTCAATGAGGAATAACAGACGTAATTAAGTAAGTAAATAAGTAAGTAATAACATTTTTAAAAACGTAAACTTACAATTCCATTGAATGATATAATCTTTATATTTGAAATTATTTAATTCATGTAATTTCTTTAAAATATCCTCATATTCTAATATATGAGTAAGTTTTTGTAATTTCCATATAAATATAATTTGGGCATCATGATTATATTCTTTTTGAATTAATTTGAATATAACCATTTAATGAAGAAGAAGAAGAAAGGGAGTATATTATTATCTTTACTATTACTAATATATATATATATATATATATATATATATATATATATATATATATATATTATTAGTGTAGTATAGTTGCTAAGGGTAAAGCAAGTGATATTACCATATATATATATATAATTCTATTTATTCATTGATTATTATTATCATCAATTAAGTTTGATCAACTTCTGTTTATTAATTGAACCAATAATCTTGGCTTCTAGAAGCATCATCTTATATCATTCACGTGTATAAATCATATGCTACTAAATTATAATTGAATGTCTAGAAGAGAAATATCTATTGAATAGTTTTATATCTTCTTTTTTTTCTTCTTTTTTTTCTTCTTTTTTCTTTCATTCTTAATATACTGAAAGAGAGCGACAAAGAGAATATAATTTTGTTTGTTTTATATGTATGTTATTGGCATGTTTATGTTGTGTGTTTTTTATTTTGTTTAATGTATACTTATGTCATGGATGCTTTGGATCGTGAATAATGTGTATGTTCGATTTGAATTATAATTGAAACATTGTTTATCGTTTCTGAAATGGTTCTGGTTAGTGTTGTTGTAATGAGTTAGTTTTCTACGGGATGGGGTCGCTAACCACATGCTCAACCCTCCTCCTTTATCCGAGATTGGGACCGGCAGTAGCCTCCTGAGGGACTCTGAAATGATACTGAATATTTTTTTGTTTCTAATTCACGAAGTGAAATGTTGGAAGTGTTGTATACTTTAATTGAATTTAATACATTGAGGATATTTCACTATCTTGTTAGATACTTTAATGAAAGGTATATGTTGATAATGGCTATTTAGAAAGATGATGGAAAACATAACAACTAAACAATTCGATTCGCGTGACTATCGTAACTAATAGTTGAAGATTCTGGGTGATATAGTTCAGAATCGATTACAATTGCATAGGTTTATACACTCTAAGTCTTCCATTAAACTATGAGATTAAAATAGCTTTATATCTTTGTTTCTACCAATTAATTCTTTCTTCCTGTACTATATTCTTGTATGAAATCTTTCTTTTATATCTTACCTCCATTGAATTAACTAATTCTATGAATTCGGTTGTGCTAATGAGGTGTGGCAACTTGGACCGATGCATATATGTGTCTGGTCCTACATTGTAGCTGACTGACTGGTTCGTAGAATATAACACCTCCAAAATCAATGACTAAACTAGATTATTGAAGGTCACTTACAAGGTATTTATTTAACTATTTTCGTATAACTTTCGAGTTACGAAACGTAAGAAAATTTAATTTTTCTACTCGCTGAGATACTACAAATATATTATTTTTTATTTTAAAAAATCTAACCAGTGCACAATTTATTCGAAATGATCAAGTTAAACATTGGTAATGATATCTATACTACATAGTTACTTGAGTATATCAATCAACGTTAAAAGGGACAAATGATATCTACACGACTATTTACTTACTTACCTGATTACGCCTGTTACTCCTCGTGAAGGAGCATACGCCGCTCACCAGCATTCTCCATCCAACCTTGTCCCAAGCAATCCTTTCCAGCTCCTTCCAGTCCCTATTCATCCTTTTCATATCTACTTCTATTTCCCGACGTAATGTGTTATTTGGCCTTCCTAATTTCCACTTCACTTCAGGATTCCATGTAAGGGCTCACCGCGTGATGCAGTTTGACGCTGTGCATAATGTATTTCATATCCATTTCCACCGTCTTTTCCTAATTTCTTCTTCAGTTGGAAGCTGGTTTGTTCTCTCACAGAGAAGGCTGTTGTTGATGATATCCGGCCAATGGATGCTGAGTATCTTACGTAGACAACCATTTATAAATACTTGTACCTTCTTGATGATGGTTGTAGTAGTAGTTCTCCAAGTTTCAGCTCCTTACAGTAGAACTGACTGCCTTGACGTTCGTATTGAAGATTGTGACTTTGATATTGGTTGAAAGTTGTTTTGAGTTCCATGTGTTCTTCAATTGTACGAATACAGTCCTTACTTTGCCAATCCTCGCCTTTACGTCTGCATCTGAACCTCCTTGTTCATCGATGATGCTTACCAGATATGTGAAGGATTCTGCATCTTGCAGAGTTTCACCATCAAGAGTGATTGGATTTCTGTTCTCAGTGTTGTATTTGAGGACCTTGGTTTTCCCCTTACGTGTATTGAGGCCTACTGATGCAGAAACTACTGCTACTCTGGCTGTCTTTATCTGCATTTGTTCATGTGTGTGAGATAGGAAGGCTGGGTCATCTGCGAAGTTCAAATCGTCTAGTTGATTCTGAGCTGTCCATTTTATGCCATGTCTTCCCTCAGATGTCGACGTCTTCATAGTCCAATCGACCACCAGAAGAAAGAGGAAGAGAGAGAGAGAGAAAGCAGCCTTGTCTGACTCTTGTCATTAGTTTGAATGCATCTGTCAGCTTTCCTCTATGCTAATCAGAAAAAAATAATATACACGTTATCACATCATAAATCATATAATGTCTTTCGAAGTAGAAACATTGTTTTAAATAATGTTCCTAGGAATCAATTAGTTACCAATAAATTTGATGGCTTAAATATATATACTGGAACACATTATTTATTGGGTTTTCATCCTGTATAGTTATGTAATTATTCTTGATAACGTTTTTATCACTGTTATTAATGAAGGCTTGATGTGAACAGTGAAATAAAGAAGTCATGACAAACAACGAAAGCTATTTTTGGACCGTTGTCTCACTTAATTCAAAGCTTTTAAAACACTAACATTCAGTCTTGTCCCTAATTTATTCTATAAACCATAAGCTTTCGTTTGATGTATAATTTACTGTCATAGCCTTTTCTGTTCCAAAGCTAATGTAATTTAAACGTAACCTTTTGTACTCTATTTTTCTGCTCATAATTGTAGTTTTCTAGTTGTTTTTGTGTTGTTGTCATGTTATTCATCTATTTATTCGTGTATCTTTTTACACTAATCGGAATCGTAAATGGGGATCGGGACTAAATCGAGTATTGTTCCAGTTGAATCGTCTTCTATTGCTTGTCAATCCGTCAGGTGATAGAATAGTTTTCATATCTCTAGCCAAGATCGTTAGTCTCAATTTGGACTCATGCATTTCTAGCCTCAAGGGTAAACCAGTTAGCCTATCATTTCAAGGCCTTAACCTATATCGATACATGTTCTCTTTTGTATTTTACTGAGTAGACAGATCAAGGACGTAACATAGCCAATGCCAAATTTAATTAAAGAAATTAACGTAAAGGAATGTTGTGGATATAGCCCTGGATTTTGATTTAGAACACTATTAATGGAAGAACCTAGTAGTATCCTTATGATGAAAGTTTGTTACTAGATTAACCAGAACTGAAAGTACCATAATTAATTAAATTAAAATGACTGAATATTTCGATCGTAAACCTATTAGATTTGTATATTATATAAATGGTTATAAAAATGGTAGGACTATAATCTATGGACGAACTAATCAAATTTCGGATAGCTCTTCTTGGATTTTTGCGCAAAATTCCCTCAACGATTATAGTTAAAGATAGTTCATGATCAAAACCCTGACTCTAATTCTTCACTTTAAATTGCAACACCGAGTCTTATTCTTAATTATTTACATTAATTCACGAATCCACGTTAGGCATAATAAGCGATTGAAGTTACTTGTAGGCAATTAGAAATGCTTACAGGTTGTTCTGAAATTTTAGTCTCTCTATTTATACTTAGTTCTAAGGTTATTACCAGTTTCAAATCCGTGTAAAGGAGGAGGGTTGGGCATGGGGTCAGCATCCCTATCTTGTACATACATTCTTCCTAAAAAAACACTAATCATATAGAACAAATTAAACCATTTAAACTCTGTCCTTTGAGTTAAAGAATCTTCATTCAAAAGAACTGTGACGCCTCATGATGAAAGCCGTGACTTTTCGGAAATCATGAGGTCGATGCAATTTCTAACGACCAGAGTAACAATTTACATAGGTACATGGGATGTTCGTACAATGTGGGAGGTCGGGAAGATCAGCTGAATAGCTGCGGAAATGAGGAGATAAAACTTGGCGGCTCTCGGAATAACTGAAACTCGTTGGGTCCAAGCTGGACAGAAAAGGATAGATTCGGGAGAGATGCTGTTGTACTCTAATCACGAAGAAGAAAATGCGCCACATACTCACGGAGTTGCTCTGATGTTGTTTAAAGAATCACGAGAAGCACTTGTAAGATGGGATTCTCATGGATCAAGAATCATAGAAGTATCCCTCGAAACAAAGAAGGATGGGATCATGATGGATGTTATCGAATGATTTGGACTCATCAATGATAGCATGATGGAAGATGTGAAAACAAGGAGAGGATCTGATATAGCTTCAGATCATTACCCAGTTGTGGTCAATTCAAAACTGAAGCTAAAGAAGAATTGGACAACTGGACAAACAGCAATACAAAAGTTCAATACAGCCTTCCTTCGAGATACTGATAAACTCAATGAATTCAAGATAGCTCTCAACAACAGGTTACCAGCCTTACAAGATCTACTGAAGAAAGGAGAAACTACGATGAAGAACAACTGGAAAGGTATCAAGGAAGCACTAACTTCAATGTGTCAAGAGGTGCTAGGTCGCAATAAGTATCATCATAACGAATGGATCTCTATGTAAATCCTGGACAAGACTCAAGAAAGGAAGAACAAGAAGACAGAAGATAACAACAGCCGAACAAGAACAGGGAAAGTTAAGGCAGAAGCTCGATACACAGAAGCAAACAAGCAAGTGATGAGGAGCATTAGAACCAACAAGCAGAAATATGTGGAAGACCTAACAACATCTATCATTTCTTACATAGAAACTTGATTGCTTGAAAAGTAACCTGTATTGAGTACTGTATAATTTTATTCAAACTCTGCAACATTGATCCACTAAAATGAATCAGAATCTGAACATTCATTTTGAATTTTATTGAATGGCTATGTTACTATTGTTTCGATTGA